CAAATATGAGTAAAATCACGTTCAACACGTTTCTAGGATTGTCATTCTCTACCTTACATCTACCAGTTTACAACCAACTGTGTTGTAAAATCTTGCAGCTAAACACAGTAATTGGAGCGTAAAACACTGTAAATCTAATTACAAACCAGAATTGACTTGTGATCAACATCATAAAGCACCAGTGGAAAAATCTATGGTTTCTTGGACCCACTGATGGCTCAACGCTTGACTGAAACTCACAACCAAAGCTGTGAATTTTGTTTGTTAAATGGAAACAAGCCCTGAACAACACAGTTTAACTGCCCCATCCCGGTTCCAGTGCTGACGTACCTGTACCTACAAGAAGGAGCCCTGGGCCACCATCACCTCGGCTGCGGTTTCCGTGGCAGGAACTGTTCTGATCAAATTTCATGTGAGGATGCATCAGTAAAATCACAGTTAAAACAAATGCTGCTCCCTGGAAGAAGTCATGGAGTTCCTTTGCCTGTGGGGAGGAAGAGCAACACCGAAGCAACCACGTACACCCTGCAGTAATAAAATACTTCATGGGGTGAGGCTACATAAGGTACGTGAGCTCAAGCATGACGCCACATGAAGTCCCGTCGTGGGCAAAAAGCAGCAGCTACAAGAGGCAAAAATAGCAAACACACAGCTAGCGTCACCGCCATGAAATGATGCTGAAGACAGACAACCTACCATGACCTCGTTAACTTGTGAAATCCAGTGTAGGAGGGGGCAAGGCCATCGAGGTTTACTTATGGCCCATCCCAAACGAGAGAACACCCGCTGGGGAAAGGATGTAGGAAAACACGTGATGCTAGCAGGGAAATGCAAACTTAGAATCACAGAATCACAGAATGGTTTGGGTTGGAAGGGACCTTAAAGATCATCCAGTTCCAACCCCCCTGCCATGGGCTGGGACACCTTCCACTAGACCAGGTTGCTCCAAGCCTCATCCAGCCTGGCCTTGGACACTTCCAGGGATGGGGCATCCCCAGCTTCTCTGGGCAACCTGTCCCAGTGCTAACGTGACAAAGTAACTTACGTGGCTTTGCCTTTAATTCTCACTAAGTCTCACTCTGCAAAGCCCAAATCTTCACCCTTTCAACCTAAACCGGGTAACCAACCATACAAATACAGGGAGCAAAGGAATTCTGTTTCTGAGCTTATTTTAAAGAGCGTGCTCTGGCAGTACGAGGCAAAGGGGACAAAACCAAACCAGAGATCACCCAGCCAGAAGCAGACGTGAATATATTATTGGGGGAACACGCTGGGTGCATTTAAGACACGGTGGCTGGGAGCGTAACCGAGCGACACCGATGCCCCGCGTGCAGCGGGGTAACACCACATCACGCAAGCTGACAGCGGGTATTCCAGGTACAGGGAGTGAGAACACCTAATGCCCAGCCAACACCCCAGAGGGGGAAAACCACTCATAATCCAAGGGCCTCTGAAGAACAGAGGGAAAAATGCGACAGTGAGAGGGCATTCCCGTCAATCTTGCAGTGAACCCACAGCCATTCATCAGACACAACTCTTTCCAAGTCCAAACCCCCTGCTCGCACACCACGGCTGGAGGAAGTGGGAAAGAGCCTGCTTGGAAGTGGGAAAGCGCCTGCAGGAAAATACCTTTCCCTATCGCTCCAGAGAGACACGGGGAAGGTTGGGCCGCCCTACGCAACGCAGACACACACCAAGTGGTCATCTTCCCTGTCTCTCCGGGATCGATGCAAACAGCATCCAAAAGGCTCAAACTGCCCGTAATGTATTTTACAGCTGTTTTACTGGACTCCAAGCCTACGCAAGCTCCTACCTGAGCAGAACGCGCTCGCTGCGTGGTTTGGGTTTAAGACCACTCCCAATTCCATAATACAGCTTAAGAAAGAAATTCTCTTGGCTTTTCCCTGACGAAGGATCAACGCCGTTGACCCTACACCACTAACCCACCCCAGCAAAGGTGGGCGTCAGCCAACAGTCACACCTGCCACCCCAACGTTCCGAAGCTTAACCTGCCCCCGACTACACGGCAGCCCAGCACGCGCTGCCTGCGCCAGGGTGCCCACAGCCCCGCGGCCGACACGCCGTCTCCACGGGGGTTGTAGCGTTCCCTCGGCAGCCTGTTACACAGGACACTGAAACGGGCTGACACCTCCTCGACCTGCCGAAAGGCGTGCCGCGGTCTTTTCTTACCGGTACCTTGGGAAACAAGAGCCACAAAGGGCGGGCAGGGTCCCCGGCAGCCAAATTGCTATTAACTCCACCTCGAACACCGAAAATGCGCGTAGTGGGATGTCGCTATGGACCTGTCTACCCTGGAAACGACTAAAAGGCTTTTGTGCCAGATTCTCCGGGGCAAGAGCAATCCAGAGTTCCTGATAATCAAAGAGCTGCTCGTACGTGTTTCTGCACCAACGAAGAAGAGGGGGTGACTGAACGATGAGTTAGTACAACATCTGCCCCAGGCAAAGAGCTTCTACCCCCAAGGGCAGGGTTCTCTTCACCACCTGGTTCACGACCCACTTTCATTGCCTGACCATGGCTTAGCAAGCCCGAAACTCGCCCTTGGGCATGCTGGTCCGTACCCACCAACAGGCAGCAACGTTTTCTTGCTGCACCAACCCCAGTTCCCACAACCACCCAGGTGAATTACCTCCCACTTGCCAATCGCCCCCAGCAGAACCACCGAGGCTGCCAGGGGACTCCCACAAGCAGGAGCAGCAGACGGAAGAGCTGCAAGAAAAACCACGGAGCGCGGTAAGGGAACCGGTACCCCCGAGCACACCGCGGTAACGATCTACGAGCAAACACAAAGCGTGCGGATGCTGTTCAGCCCTACACATCTTCCGCTGACACAGCCACGTACTCGCGGGGCACGTCACCCCGTGAAAAGGCGAGTGGATTATTGAGAGCTGCGTTACTGTTGGTTATCAAGCGTCGGTAAGCTTCCCGCTGCAACGCAAGCCCTTAGTAACGCGGCCATCCGTAAGCCAACCCTTAGTAACAGCACAATCAAAAATCCCACTCGACAACCCCCCACAGCGGACTCGGTACTCGCAAGTGTCAGCACTTACCAAACTCAGCCCTCCGCGAACCAAGAGCCCAGGTCCGACGGGAGAGAGGGAACACCACGCGCAGCCTGCCCGGTTTTCAACGGTCGGCACACGCGGGACGCAGCTGGCTCTTGGCCGAGACCGGACCTTGTGAAACCAAAGTCACAAGTGTTACGCTCCGTTCTCCGCGAAGCCTGCGGGCGGGAAGGGAGATGAAACCGATGCCACCACCTGATCTGCACCTGGAAGGGTTTCTCCAAACAAATTCATCGTTTCCGTGAGGGTCAGGGATGGACCAAACCACGATGCTCAGCTCACAGGCAGATTCACCCACCCGTTTCCACCAGCGCTCTCACGGGGGGTGACGCAGCACCCGCCTCACTCGAGGTCTTGCTCTTCGGGGCAGAGGTGCCCAACCCAACCGTGGGCGTTGCCGGGCGTGGCGCGACGCAGCGTCTGCTTCTCCGTCCCCGGACGGCGAACACCAAACCTTCACGCGCCGGCCGAGGCGCTACACGCTTGCGTCGCCCGCCAGGCTTCACACCCGCTCCGGAGGCACGGCTTCGGTTTGAGCGGGTTTGTACACAAACGAGGTCACCGTGCCCACAGGTTTCCTAACGATCTTTTATTAAAAACAACAGAGCCCAAGACGGCCCTGAAGCTCCTGGCTGTTATAAAGCAGACTCTGCAGTTTCAAGTGAACTATGTGTCAAAGAACTCCAACCGATGCAGAGTTTAAAACTAGGTTTACAATTTCCTATTTTATTGGCATGGATGTATTTCTAAACTTAAAAACCCTTCTGGCAAGTTATCTCAATTTCTTATGACAAAATTTCTCACAACACACAAATATTTACAACATATACATATTTTTTTTTTTCAGTCTTTTACAACTGGTTCTTAAAAGACAAACAATTTATAGGTTACCACAGAACAAAAGCTGTGACTTAGTTGTTTTTAATTTCATAAAACTATCATAAGTTCTAGTGAATAGATTTTTTTTCTTTTCTTTTTTTTTTTTTTTTTAAATTCCTTGTAGCATTTTACAAGTGCAACAGAAAAATATGAAGAACCAATTTAGGATAGCTGCAGTTCATTGGATAAGTGTTGCCCGTTGTAATCACATTATTTTCACAGCAAATTCTTGAAAAAATAAGCACCAATCATTCTTGCAAAGAACAATTTTATCTAAAAGTATTGAAAAGTGTTAAATACAAGGTGTTTAATTTACAGAACAAGCAATAAATATACCATATCCAAACTTTTATTCTGCATACTGCTACCCTTGTACATATAATGTACTAAAAAGTCAGCAAATTGTCAACACCTTCTCATTATTTTTTTTTTCCCTCTTTTTTTTTTTTTTAAAGAAATCAATTTGACTTCCAACCAACAGTTTGCTACGATAACAAAGGCCACAAACAGTACGTCCGGGACAGCATACAGTGTTAAAACTGACAAACTCCAAAAGGGGGGGAAAAAAACCATCTAGCAAATCAACCCAAAAGCTGCAGATCGTTGCTGGTGATATTAACATATACTAGAAAACCTTAATATGCTGCTACTATGATTTTTATTTTTAAATGGTTTTGTCAAACATCGTAAGAGGAACTAATGCTCTTACTGATCAAAAATAATTATGGAGCCACACTGTATTCTCGTCGCCCTGCACGGAAAGATTGGATGCGATTTCGTAACTTTGCTTGAGCCTTTATTTTACAACAGAGCATCACCTCTAACTCAGAATTGCACATAAGAAGGCTATTAAAAAGTACAATAAAAATCTGCACAAATCAGACTTAAGAAGAGTCAGTATGCTGTACACTTTCTACAATATTACGTTGATAGCTGAATAAACAAGAAGTGCTGCCGCTAAGTTGTTCAGGAAGTTCTTCAGTTGAGGAATAATCAAATGGAATTTTTGTTGGGTGTGGTGTTGTGGGTTGGTGGTTTTGTTTGTTTTAAACGACATCCAGCTCAGTTTAAGACCTGTAAGTTTATGCATTGAGTCGTAAAGACTGATCATCTCTCCTCCTGGAAGAAATATCAATATCTATTGAATCCTTGCCGACAATAAGCCTTAATCTCTTTGCCGGAGGAAGAGGAATAAAGTCATCAAACTCGTCATCGTAGTCATCTTCCTCCTCATCATCCTCTTCTGATGAAGATTCATCTGCTGTTTCCTCTTCATAGTGACCGTAATCATCTACTTCCATTCGGGACTCTAAAAGGGAGAGAGTTTCACTACAACACACACCGTTTTCATGCAGGTCCTCGGGGTACGTCCCTCTGTTTTCCTCCTCTCGTTTTAGCTGGATTTTTAATTTTGTTGAACTATTGCCTGATCCTGAGTTAAATCCGTTATTTAGCTTTGCTACATATAAATTATTATCTTTTTCATGGTCTTTACTTAATTTGATGCTTATTTTTGAAGAATTCATTCCATCGCTTTCTTGGTCGTTTGCCTTGCTACTGCTATCATGGCGCCTACGAAGAGTCAGTTTAGGGATCCCAGAGCTATTTTCGAGGATAAGTTGTGCATCATACCTTGTGATTCGCCTTTTCTTTTTACTTTTTGCAGTTCTAAAGCTGTCTTTTGCTTTACAACTGTCAGCTGTTACAAGAGAGCAGCCACCAGACCCGGGGATGCAGTCTTTATAACCAACCGGTGTGTCCACCCCGTTGTTCCTCTCTCCGGGTTCTGAATGAGAACGAATCAAATCCGGTATTTCATCTTTCACGGGTGTGTTGTGTGCAGTAGTATCAGTTTCTTCTATTTTTGCAGACGGTTTCACAAGTTTCCCTTGCCGAGATTTCTTTTTTGACATGCCCGCGTCATTTTTCTGGCACCGAATCTCCCCTTTATGGGATGGTCCGTAAGCGACGCCGTTGTCGTTTACTGGATGAGACTCCTGCTCTAAAACGTCCGATCGCGTTCCGGTCAAATTATCCTTACAGCTATCCAACATATTTGGTTCAAGCTTTATGTCAGAGGTCTCCTTCAAATTCATCCTTGTTCTCACTGACCTCCTTGTTATGTACGTGCAGGGCGGTACATCACCCTGCTCGTGAGCACCTTTCACCGAGTTCAGTTGATGTTCTCTTGCTGCATGCCTTGTTAAGCACCCGCTAGAGACTGCAACTTTGACTGGTCCCTCCAATTCTTTATCCTTTTTAATGGGCAAGTTTTTGTATAAAACTACTTTAGGCTCTTTGAGAACTAAATTTCCCATTTCAAGCTTTCTAGAAGCGTTCTTCTGCTCTGGCCTTTTGCACTGGTTTCTTAACTTGATCTTCGAAAGTAAAGGCTTTACAGGCTTTTTCAGTCTCTTTGGTACCCTGGAATTATTTATATGAGTTAGCTTAGATGAGGTAGAATTCGATGATGCTGGAATTCTCGATATTGACTGTCTTGTTAATGTTCTGTTTTTGCTGTTCTTTTTTACGCCAATTGAAGATTTTCTGTTAGCTGCAAAAGAGAAAAGTGGGTTTGTTATGACACTGCTTTATCCCGAGATTCCCGCTCCCAAATACCGTAGTTATTGCATTTACACACTTCATCAAAACCTGTGAAACAGGCTAGATAGCATGCAGTGAGGAGCACAACCGCTTCACCTGCAACTCGGAGATGAAAGCAATTGACAAGTCAAAAAAACACCTAAGGGGGTTGGAAGTAGATGATTCACGGAGTGGTGGGGGTTGGAAGGGACCTCTAGGGACCATCTAGTCCAACCCCCTGCCAGAGCAGGATGCCCTACAGCAGATCACACACGAACAAGTCCAGGGGCTTTGGAAAGTCTCCAGGGAAGGAGACTCCAGCACCTCTCTGGGCAGCCTGTTCAGGGCTCTGTCACCCTCACAGGGAAGAAGGGTTTCCTCATCTTCAGATTGAACCTTCTGTTTTCCCATTTATGGCCACTGTCCCCCGTCCTGTCACTCGTCACCACTGAGAAGAGCCTGTCCCCATCCTCCTGACACCCACCCTTTAGATGTCTTTAAGGTCCCTTCCACCCCAAACCATTCTATGATTCTAAATTCCAGGTACACTTGCCTCCCTGCCCCCAATATACCAAGTTTGGTTTTCATTTAATTTTTCTACAGACATTTTAAAAAGTCTATCCCGCATTTCCAACGATTTTTAGCGAGTATTCGCTCAGCAAATCTGAGGAGCTACATGCTCCAGTATTAACCCCAGAACTCTTTCCTACGGGGCGGGGGGAAACCCCAAAACCCCTAACGACAGTCACGGACTGCGGTAAGCAAAGGAGCTTTGTCTGCCCGAGCAAAGCTGCAGCTCTAAAGCTTTGTAATGAGGGATCATAACAGGGTTTGGAGAAGTATTTTGGGTTTTTTTTCTTAAAAGATCACAGCAGCAAACAGGAGCCAGATGGAGCCATATTTTATGTGGCTCTAGACCTGTTTGCTAGTGAAGTGCAAGTTTAAAGTTATTTATACGTTGCCTGTACTGAGGGTGGTGGGGTGGGGAAGGAAGGAAAGCAAATGAAGTGATACTCACTACTCCATGAGGTCTCTCAAGACCAGCACAACCAAAAATCCTTTCCAATATCTTCTGAGATTACTAACTGTACACTTTCCCTTCAGAACAGGTACCTGAACTATCAATCCTGGATGCGGAGAGGGAACAGCTGCCCAATTTAAAGGATCTCTAAAGGACACGACTATTTAAGAATCTATTCAGAGTATTTATTTCAAAACTCTTTTCCTACAGAATGTAGATAACCCAAGCTATGTAGGTTTTCTTCCCTAAACCACACTACTGCGTGTGGCAGTTTGCCGTATTCTGAGACACACACAGTATTGACAGAACTGACACATTTAGAAATAGGACACTATTTCCTTTTGATACAAATAAAACAAGATAAGGACATACCACCTACTGTTCCTGAAGCACTTACAGAAAGCTGTGAATTTGCTGTTTAATTCCAGAGTAAATCACGATTCTAAAGACCAGTATCTGAGATGCATCACAACACTACGATGGGAATTCCATCACAGTGAAAGTTTTTCGTGTCTTCACGAAACCTGCACTCCACGCTTTCACCCCTACTTACTTGCATTAGCTTTTTCCTGAGTGGTATCTGCATCAGTGTTAGAGCTGACGGATTGGCTGTCGGAGTTTTTGCTGCTGTCACCCAACTTTTTAAGTCTGTTCAATCGTTTATCTGTTTCTCTCAGTCCATATTTACTATTAATCACAGGAGTAGGTGCTGGTAATCCCACTCTTGATTTAAAAGCACCAGTTCCACGTCTACACAGGAAAAGAGGACACAAGGTATTAATACAAACTTAGAACTTTGTTTCATATACAACAGATGGTTTATCCAAATATACCTGGGATTCCAAATGAGTGAACACTGAATTTATTAGCATTCTGTGGGTTGTTTTACTAAAATAATCATATAGATATCTTACTAAGATGTACAGTAAAACCTTCCATTTATTTCTTGCAAGAAGAAAAAATTGCAAAACTAGGTTTCCCTTGCTTTATGTCTATTTTGGGACCGTTTCATTGTCAAGTTATACAGGTGAAAATGAAATACGGTAGTTCAAAATACTACTTATGTGAGTTTAGGTAACAACTTACGTATTTCCTAATTACATCAGGCCAGTAAAAAAGTGCCAGCTTCAGTTACAATGCTTGTTACTGCATCAGCAAGAGTTGATAAGGACAGAAAATGGAATAAAATTATCACGCAGTCCTGGTTTCCTCTGTAACTGCAATACGCCAGTACGTACTTACTGTGCCAGTGAAACGGCTGAGCAAACCTAGAACGTTATTTTTCTCTTTGTTTTAAAGGTATTGCAGAATCAGATCACTTAAAGGTGAGTTTTTGTGGTGTACAAAGCGACAGCTGCCTCAGCAGTGTTGGTAAGCACTCACTATTCCTTGCTCAACTCCCCTGAATTCAAATCTCTCATATTTGATTGCTATAACACACCCTTGTGATTGAAAGGCAGATTCCTAACGTCAGAATTACCCAAACGTTAGCTTTAAAATATAACATTTTCATGTACTTAAAGCACTGAAAGTATATCTGTATTACATCAAAATCAAAGGAACTTGAGAGAACAAAGAAACATTACTTCAAGTACGAAGGAAAGAACAATCACGGTGCCCGCTTATTCAGTACTAAACAGCTCCCAGGACTGAAGTACGTTTTTACTAGCAGCTCTCTAGATACAGCCTAAGACTGCACCCTTCACTGGGAACGATCTACCCACATCGTACGAGCCTGGAGGTCCACACCAGAAAGGTCTTCCCTTGATCTGCAAGAATTGTTAGTGACCAAACCAGCCAGCAAAAACAAAGGTAGAATTATTAAAGCTATTTCTATGTAGGTGCACTAAGCTATTTCTCAATATGACTAATATTTAGTCCTTTCTAGGCTTTTTTCTCTCTACAGCCAGGTCGAACAGTACAGAGCTGTTATAGGTTCTGTGTAGTTCCTCTTACAACCAGGTGAAGCTCTCACAAACGATGCTGAGCCTCCATGCTCACAGTATATGGAAGTTTCAACGTGGCAAAAAACAACTACGAAGTTCTTCCAACTGATTTTGTGAAGAAACTAGGTTGGGACAGCACAGGTGAAAACCAAACATAAAACTTTGCTGCTACTGTGCGATGGGCAGATAGAGGTGAGTCCTGTCCAAAGCAGCAGATGTTTACAAATGCACAAACCCACAAGTTCTAGTAAATTAGGGTGAAAACTACTTTGACTGTTCCCAGCAGAAGAGAACTTCAGGTCAACAGAGAAAACATTATTGACATTTGGGTTTTCTAGTGCAAAAAGGCAAAAGATGGGGGTTGATTGCAAGTGGTCTCTCAGCAGCTACAGCTTGTTTTCCTTCCGATTTTACTTAATTCAGTACAAATATTTAAGAATCTCCACTTCTTGTTATTTTTTCAGGCCATCTCCAGAAGGGATAATCAAAAGAAGAGCGGAATGCAGGAGTTCTCGTGAAACGTGACTACTCGGTAACAACATAAACAGAAGTAATTACAGAAAACAGCTAGAAATAAATATAATGTGTCCAGAAGTCTGAGTACTCATATTAGGGACCCTGTTTCCCAAAACATACCACTGAATATGCCCAATGCCATCTAAAACTTATTTACATCCATGCATACCTTTCACAGGTGTAGCATTCGCAGTATTCGTTATTTTCTCCAAAAAACCCATCTCCATAGTAACAAGAGATTTCTTCGCCAGGTTCAATATCTCTCAGAGCTTTCACACATGCTGTATCTCTGCCCGTTGATACAAACTGGGGAAGGAGATGACAGGAAGGGGGAGGGAGGGGGGAGTTAATCATTAAGGTTGAACAGTATCTGAATAAGAAAAAAACAAGAAGTCAAACAGTTGGGGAGGAAAAGGTGTAGGGGACAAAGGGGAAAAAAAGGTGGGGTGCTTTACTTATTTACTTTTAATTTCTTGCTTACCTTACAGTTAGGTCTGCAATCTGAAAAAGGTCCAAAAGATAAAGTCAATTAACTGTTGATAAGACCTGAAACATGAATAGTTGTAGATATCTAAAGTAAGGATTCACTCTGACTTCAGTAACTGCAGAATCTCAACTAAACACTGGGAGTTATGTTACTATGGCCAAAGTTATGTACCAGAGAGACCTATTTTGATATCGTTCTGTTTCTGAGCTCTTCCCTACGCTACCCCAAGTGTTGTTTCCCTCCTCTTTAAGGTAATAGGATTCATCTTAACTCCCATCTGCTTTTCCATCAGCACACAAATGCAACAGAATCAGGTAAGCTTCAGTGCAGAAGGTTAAATAAGCCACAAGAAGTTCACTTAAGAAATACATTACTGTTGATTAAGTTAATAAAGAAATCAAAGTAACCCACAAAATGCTCCTCTGATGTAGCTGTCAGTGCCAAAGTCTCTGTGAAGGAAGGGGGTATCACTTCCTAGAGCCTTCTACGAGTTTCCCAGTTCACAGCCCATCAGGTCTGGGGAAATCCTAACAGGATTTTATCCTACAGTAACCCAGTATGCCAGGTTCAGACATCCTCTCTAAGGCCCCGCGTTGTTCAGTTCACACGTAACAGCACTTCTGAGCAGAACTGCTGATGTCCTTTAACATGCTTCCTACACTTACTACTCACCGTGGTTAATAAATGCAGCAGGACCAAGCCACAGCTGTGCACAGTTTTTCCGTGTGGAATACATGACACTGAAGTCATTCTCCCCATGTCTCAGCAGCATGTTTTCTTCCATTTCTGACAGTTCAGCAATACAGCCCACAAGTAATTCTATTTTATCATTTCGTTTCCTTTAGTGTAAAAAGAGTAACAGAAATAATCTATGTGCCAAAATTACAACGTCATTTCACAAAAAGCTGTCAATAGCAGAAAGTGTTTTGTGAACCATTTCTCAATCCCTATAAACCTCATGTTTTAATTCAGTCAGAGACAAGATATTAGGCTAAACAGACTTTTAGTCAGACATGAAGTGTTTTAATGCTACTATACAGCATCAATTACATCAGTTCTAACAGACATTACGACCATTGTTTCTACAATTTCCTGAGACTGCAAGCAAGAAATTGCAGAAGTTGATTACTTCAGCTTCTACAGTTGTTAAAACCAAAAGCAAGATGTTTTTTATTTGTGCACACTCCCCGTCAGCACTTAAGACATTTTGACTTCCTCCAGCTGCTCGTTTGCATTTCCTATACTTCTTCCTTTGGCCAGGAAAACAAAGCATAGGGAAGATGCTCAGAACTCCACAGCTGCTTAAAAAGCAAAAAAACCCACCATCAAAAAAAAACAACTTAAAAAAACACTAACAAAAGAAAAAAGGCTGGAATTCAGGTATGACATTTTCCTCTCTCACGAGTTGTTCTTCAGCATCAAGCTGGTCCTTTAAATAAACTATTTGGGGCTGAGGGGAGGGGACAACCAACAAAACCATGACTCCTGCACGTGCAGCCAGCCAACGTGCCATCGTAAGTACAGCAGGTCAGTGGCACAGAGTGCTCAGCCCAGGAGGAAGCAGAGTTTCCATCATTTTGCAAGAGCATGGTTTCCACTGCTCTTCAGAGCATTCCAAATTCTGGTCACGTTACTCTCACACAGATGAGTATGGAGATAGTAAATATACGTGAAGGACAGAAAGTAGAAGCCAAGCCTTTGAGGTGCAACATTCTCCTCCTCTAGAAAGTGCTGAGAACTACCAGTTTTGAGTCCCCATAGTTTTCCCGACATCGGCAGGGTTAAGAAGCAGCCCTCCTGTCTTGCTCTCTCTCACGCCACTCAAGGTTTTGAGCATGAAAAGTTAATTCATTTTCACACTTACATACCAAGCTTCCACTCCAAAGAATCGGCCAAGGGAAGAATTCAAACAAACTAACAAAACCAACCCCAAAATACATCACAGAACTTCCAGCTACAGTCATGAGGGGCTCAAAACCGGCCTCACCGTTAGAGCCACACAACCCCAGCCCACACGTGACACCACATCACGGTCTCTGATGTGCTGTTACGAGTACGTACTGCCACAAAGCAAACCAAACATAAGTTGGGGGGCAGTGGGGAAGGAAAAAAGGAAGGAAAATTGTTTTATTTTAAAATCTGAATCGACGCAGGGATCTGCTGGTGCTGTGTTAGACATGACACAATGTGCCACATTGTGGAAGGGGAAACTTCCAACCCTGTGTTTCCAAGAGATTCATCTTGCACCATCAAAATATGCAAATAATACCCCTGAGTTTCACAGAAAGGTGAAAAACCCATTCCCCTCCCCAGTTAATTTGCTGTAAAACAAATCTGGCATAACGAGAGCCCTGACACGGTCATGTTTCTCACAGGAGGCCAACAACTCACAATTAGAGCAAAATAATTATCTGAAAACAAGATAAAAAAATGTGTATCCTGAAAACTGTATGGCTATGTCGAATATACAAAGGAATGTCTTACAGACACATGTATTCTCTGTTAAGGACTTGGCAAAACAGACACCGAATTTTTAGTTTATAAGTAAAACCAGAGAGCTTTGTATTTCACCAGTCGCAGTTTTAATTCTGATCATACTTTAATTTTTTTTTTTTTTAGAATCTTTCAAAATCACTGACACAAATAGCATGTGACAGTGAACTGCATTTCTTACCATTCCTTCGTTGCAACGATTTTGGCTCCATTTTGCTCAGAAGAATACCGATTACAAGGCAGGATCTCAAACCCACTGTCAGTTGCAAACATTCGTAAATAAATAAATACCTGCAGCGAAGGAGAAAAGTACTTTTCTGTCACAAGCAAAACAAAAGCAGTGAGGAACTCTTATACAAAAATAATGAAAGTCAGTGACCTGCACAAAAAGCACACCAAAATGGATACTGCAATGGGAAGCTGTTTGCTGAAATGCGTTTCTGGTTACACATTTTAGCCATACACAGCACGTTAACCTTATTGTTCCCAGGGACTTGCAGCCATCCTCACATGGATAACCTGACTATCCAAAGAGATTAAAAAAAATTGAAGATGCCTTGAATGGTACAGAATTGGCCTAACCAATTAAACTGCATAATTTCTTCTTAAAGTCACCGAGTAGTTGCATTTAAGAATTTTTCTCAGCTCTTCCAAACCCACTGAGACAAGAACCACCTATCACTCTGCGGGATCCCATTTCATTCTTTCCAGTTCCGAAAAAGATACTGCTTCCATGACAAATCCAGATGCTGAATTCAGGGATTGCTAGATCTTCTCAGTTAAAGTGCAGTTGTATTACTCAGCAAACACTCTGGGAAAGCAGAGTTTGCTGCCTACTTTTTTCCTACAGTACTAGATTTTATGCACTTTAAAGTAGGCCAAATTCCTTTTGACTGTGTCGGAAAACACCGCACTCATGCCTGAAGAAGTTCTTTGTTTCTTAAGGTAAAAAAATCTATTATTTCCTTGCAACTTTGAGAGTCAATCACCTTTACGCTCTACACAAAATGGGCTTGGGGTGTGGGAAGTGGAGGAAGAGGAGTAACACTTCCACATAAAGCCCCGATATCCAAAACAACTGAGGCATTTTGAGGTAACCAAAATACCCCCTTTTCCTTTACCTTTCTTTGTCGTTCGATTTACGATAGCTGTTAAGTTATAAAAAACAAGCAAACAAAACCAAAACCACCACTATAAACCAAACAAACAAGGAGTGGGAAAAAAACCCCTTCCAAAGAATGGAAGAATTCCTCAACTCTCATCTTGCAGAAGCAGTCTTCTTTCTTTTGCTTATGACTTAATCCAACAGCAAAAGAGGCAAACATGTTTTCCTTTCCACATGTCTATTAAATAAAAGGTAACTCAGTAAATACATCAAAAAAAAGCAGGGGTAGAGTGGGGGAAAGCTATCTGGGTTTTAAAAAATGAAGGAAGCTCCTGTTAAAAAGCTCAAACAACACATAACAGTGGATTACTTTCCTTTACTACTGCTACATTCCTAGGAAATGTTTACATTTTCTCAGCCTTTCAACCATCTGAAAAAGCACATTAATTACAAATACACCTACATGTTCCTTGAACAACCTTTCCTGCATTTTGTTCTTGTTAAGAAAATAGTGCCGGGCCCAGTCACCTGACGTCAAGGACTTGAAGGCTTTTTCTAAGTGCTCATCTTTCTTGAAACGTTCAATCACCTCTTTGAGTTCTTCTTGCCTTCCTTTAATAGGTCGAAATCTGAAAGGAAGAATAAAGCTATTCCAGTCCACTGTTATTCATGCTCAGTTCTACCTCAGTTACTCACAGCCATATAAATACTGAACTCCTAGCATGCAGAACCTGACCATTATGTACTCCAATCACAAAAAAAAAATTATGCAACTATCCTGAAGTGTGATTTCAAATCAACTTTCGTCCAACCCAAAGCCTTATACTGACTAACCCACTATATGGGTTTATGTACACTGCAGACAACGTTTGCATTCACGTAAACCACACCTCAGTGACTACTCAAAAAGCAACACACAGCACAGATACTACACCCGTGGAAGACTGACCTTCCACAAGTTAGTACTGTAAGAATTTTTAAAAAAAAAAATATTGGTTACAGGAAATGGGTAGCTGAAACCCACGGGTAGATAAAGCATGTAAATAAACCCCTGTACATTAGCAGAGAATTCTGCCTTGCTCCCAAAGCTTGAGAAAAAGTATCCTTCCTATCTTCAACAGGAAAACATTGGTTACAGAACTGTATTACTGCAAGAAGCAGGAGCTCCATTTCTGAGCTGTAAAACCATCAAGAGAAAGCAGAAATCAATTAAAGATTATGTCAGATCTCTGTAAATTGCCTTTGACCGAGCACACAGCCATACATGCTCTGCTTTGGGGTGTACTTCTAAGTGTATGACACACCCCAGGGGACTCTTCACAAAGATAAAAATTTTCTAGGGTTATGAGAAACAGTTTTCTGCAGCTTCTTCTACAACTCACATCTTTTGCTGACTCAGCACATGGCAAGTCTTAAATAAGTGAACAGCTTTTGATTAAATCCATAAGACTAAGTCCCATTACTTGTTGCTTGATGCGTGTAACCATGCTGACTTCATTTCTTCTTACATACCAAATGAGGTCTGTATTTGATGATAAAAGTAAACAAGGAATAATAAATTGCTGAAGGTGGTGGAATGAAACCTCAGATCCCTAACGGATACCCTGTTTTTTAAATTACCATTGTCACTTGGTTTATCCTCATCTCCAAATACTGAACGGTGCAAGTAACTTCAGATGAGCTGCTTCTGTGCAACTTATATGAAGGAAACAAAAGACCTTCAGCATTGCACATCCCAATTTTATTTCACCTTGTAGAATAGTAAGAGTTTAATCAGAAATAGCCAATAATGATGAGGATTCAATTTCCTTTATTAGAAGTAAAATGTTGTGTTTATGCTCCTGATACAGTAAAGAAAGATCCCCAACCGCAGTATCCCAGCAGCAGTGCAGGCGATCAGCACCCAATGCTACTGCTTTCATGCACCTTCTCTGCATTCTCCACCTGAGAAACTTCCTTGGAACATCATGACTAAGCAATCTTCTAGATCATTTGAATATGGAAAAAATTATCAGCATAAACCTGTGAGCTTTCAGAGAAGATACAGTACAGTCTTTCTGAGAAGATGTTACCTAAGTGTTCTGGCTGGGACAACATCTAACAAAACAGCAAGAGTCAGTCAAGAAATAGATGCCCACTTAGAACTGTAGCATATACCGCGCCAAGAAATTTCAAATCAAGTTCTTCAATAGAGAATAGACTTATCCATCTCCCCAGAAAACTGCCTAGCAAGCTGCTGAGACGTCATCACAAAGGAAAACTCCTTTTAGACTTCAGATGACATTCATTATTATTTTTGTTCTGTAGCACAGAAACATCTTCCTCAACTTGCCAGTCAGATACAAGAGTATCTCCCAGTTCTCCCCAAACCAAGAAGAATTCTACCAGATTTGACAGTCATAACTCACACACCTTCCTCAGACATTACAGGAATTTAAAATTATATAGCCTGAACTAAACCTGGCTAGATTCAGAATAAGACTTGCTCTCATTTTCAGTTTAAATCGAAAGAGTTTTCCCAACAAGTAAATTTTCCCAAACGTGCCTGTATCATGAGAAGTACAAAGCACACCAGTACGCACAAACACGACAGGTCAACCTTTTGTTAACATCTTTATCTGCAAACAGGAGGAAAAGACACAGGATTTATTACAGCTAAAACTGCTCTTCAGCTATTCTTGCTGGACTAAATGAATGATTGCTCTCTCCCCTGCATTTTATGGTATATGTTGAAATGCACAGTTTTTTTGGCTAAGTGACCCGCAGGAGCAAAGACAGACGGAAAACCCGTAACATCCAAAACTGAATTAGCACCTGAGACAGGCAATGCACATGCTGGTAGACATAATCGTATTTGTTTGTCATCAAGAAGCTTGGTCTAGGCTAGCTAAAGAAAGCAGTATCCCAACGCAGCCACCAGCAGGGACGGGGGGGAGGATAAAGGAAAAATCAGGACAGATGCTAAGCTTAAACTGTGTCTCTCAAGACTTACAGAAAAAGAATCAACACTATGTTTTATCATAGAATCACAGAATGGTCTGGGTTGGAAGAGACCTTAAAGATCATGTAGTTCCAACCCCCTGCCATGGGCAGGGACACCTTCCACTAGACCAGGTTGCTCCAAGCCTCATCCAGCCTGGCCTTGGACACTTCCAGGGATGGGGCATCCACAGCTTCTCTGGGCAACCTGTCCCAGTGCCTCCCCACCCTCT